ACCATTCTCGTAAATTATGATGTGATTTTCTGTTCGTCAGGTCATTGACTAGAATGATACCTGTAGAAGTTGAAATGTTTTTGTCTTTAAGAAATGACAGACTTAGTTATGAGTCCCTGATCCACTGCAGACAAAACACCAGATACTTGAAGTATTTATTTCATGAAATAAAGAAGCATCTTTTCTCATGCATGCAGCATATACTTTGTAATAGTTCTGGAAAATCTTCCTTATGAACTCTCAAAATTTTAGAAATAAAAATAGTTACAGCTTACTTTTTTCTTTGTCAACATTTAACAACAACAGGAGTTTTTTCTCCTTTATGCAATTGTGTTGACCATTGAATAAGTATATTTTGTGTTATATTTCAAATGAAATATCTTTCTATCAAATAGGAATTGTCTTGTTTCATTTTTCTCGACTTAAAAGGAAATATCAGAATTCATAACTTCATCAACTTTGAAAATGTTCGCAAGATAGGAGAGTCGTTTCAGAAGTGTTTTTGGTGAAGTTAGTTTTTAGCAGTAGTACAGGGATCTTTAAGTAATAAATTAACTTTCATTGACAAAATGAAAAGTATTTGTTTTATACAACAAAACGAAAGCAACAATAGGCAGCCTTTTTTTCTGTTCCAAGCTTTATTGTAAACTTTCAGTAAAAATAATATCAAAAAAATATATTTCCAACTGATTTGCTGGTTTTTATGTAACATTTTGATCGTATTTCTTTTTTATTTTGATGAAAATGGAATAAAACATGAAAATAAAAAAGATTTTCTGGTTCAAGTTTTACTCCTGAATTACATGTACCAATTTTCTTCATCATCAGTACAGAAACAAATTTAACCGCCCATATAAAAGACTGTTATCTTAACTACTTGCAGAAAATGTAAGTCTCTTATATAAGACAGTATTTTCTTACCATGTACCGGATTATAAAATATTGCACGGCTATTTTCATGGCTAGTAGATCCACCAACATCCCATAATTCTGCAAAGTAGGTTTTCTGTGAAGGGGTTCCCGCTTTGTACTCATGTAGCTGTTGTAGCAAACAGATTTCTGGACATTAATTTTATACACAGGTTGTAATAACAACATCACATAAAGTTTTGATATGTAACATTGTGTATTGTTACACCTCAAGTGAATTTCTAGCTATTTGATTGGTTGGGAAAAAATTAAACAAAAATCTCTGTCACCCTCCGAAAATACATTGGTTTTAAGGGGCGCGGGTGATATTGCCATGAGACAGAGAAAAATATCACATGCGCGAAAAATGTGCGTTCCGGGTTCTTCACAGTGGCCATTTTTCACCGCTTTGTTTCCCCACCGTGATGGTCACAAGAACGTTTGACGGCAACAGCCAATTTTATCAAGCGCCGGTGCGATAGCGATTGTAAACAGCAGACTATCAACAAACAAGATGTCATTATCGAGGTTTGCTGCCGTTTCTGAGCTACATATGGAGGAGATTCTTACCTCCAAGGACTCAAAAATATTTATTTAAAGACTTTTGGTGTTGACATTCATTAGCAGGTGACAGTGAATATTGTCAACCCTCAAAAACCCATTGTCACCCTCGGCTTCACCTCGGGTGACAATGGTTTTCTCAGGTTGACAATATTCACTGTCACCTGCTAATGAATGTCATATTTATATATTATTATACCTTCTGTTAAAATCTCGTAATCTGATTGGTTGAGAAAGATGTGAACATTTTCAATGTTACTTGCTCGTTTTACAAAGATAAAGAAGACAAGGTGTTATTCCAAAAAATATCACATGCGCCAAACGTACGCGTGCACGGTTCGTCCCAGTGCCAGGGTGTTATTCCAAAAAATATCACATGCGCCAAACGTATGCGTGCACGGTTCGTCCCAGTGCCAGGGTGTTATTCCAAAAATTGTTACACGCGCCGAATGTGTGCGCCCCTGGTTCATGATCATCCCAGTGAAAACTTTTCTGAAACGTTTGTCGACCTTTAAAAATGGTGAAGTGGTGAAACACCTAAACATGACACTCGGTATAATAAAATAAAAATCACATTCATGAGAGGGCGATATTGCATATTTTCACCCCTTGGAAAGCATTGTTGACCTCGGCTTCGCCTCGGTTAACAATGCTTCCTTGGGGTGAAAATATGCAATATCGCCCTCTCATGAATGTGATATTTATATAATGTCACCCTTTGTGACATCACACAGAACATTACAGTGACATCAAATATTTAAGGCAATGGCAAAAATAATCACCTTTTCCTTCAATGTCACAAAATATGCAATTAACATAATTGAAATGAGTATATCATAAACAGAACTTCAAACTTGTTCCCATTATATCTTATTTTTATCAAACTCTCGGAAGCTTGTTTCATAAAAAAATAATAAGTAATGGGATCTATAGATTGAAATTCTCTATTCATAGAAATACTATGAAATATAAATTGAGAAAATATGTCTGGCAGATTTTCAGGTAGATTTCCACAACTTGCTGTTAAACATTTAATTTAATGCCTAAACAATATGGTGACCTCATTAATGAGGCCTGATATACCTTATATTACAAGTTTATTACAAAACATTTTCAATATTTTTTTTAAATCATGTACTTATCCTCCAATAAGCCCACAAGTTAAACACATAATTTCTTTCTTGAAGCATGGAGTGGGTTTATTTCATAACAATGTCTGAACTACAACACATGTATACATATAAGGTGGACTATTAACAGGCATGGACTTATTACCAGATAATTGTGTTATGTAAAAACAATGGATCTTTATCAAGTTTCCACTGCACACTGGCTGTTAACATTAAATTGAAGGGCCCAAAATCAGGAGTCTCTCTCCTAAATAGGGAGAGTTGGCAAGTATGAGAGGGATAGAGAAATCTTGACCAAAGCAGCAGTAGTGGTCAGTTCTATCTCACCTTGACCTCCACAGAACATCCGATGGTCCAGCCAGGATTGCTTGTTGTCTCATTGTGACAAATAAGATGAACTAATGAGGTCTTCCCAACTCCTGCAAATATTTGGAATATATAAGAGAAAGTCAGTTATTGCCGACTAATGTAGCAGATGTTTATGAGAGAACTGACTAAGGTGTGAAGTCTGTTGTCAATCCTTTCCATAGAAATGTAGAATATATATTACAACTAATCACGAAGCTATAACAATGATGAACACATGAGCCATAAAGTCTGTGTGACATGTAAACCTGGTATATTAGTGTGTGCCAGTCCACTGGTAAGTATCTGCGTGACATGTAAACCTGGTATATTAGTGCTTGCCAGTCCACTGGTAATTAACTGTGTGACATGTAAACCTGGTACATTAGTTTGTACAGTCCACTGGTAATTATCTGTTTGACATGTAAACCTGGTATCCTAGTTTGTCCAGTTCATTGGTAATTATCAGTGTGACATGTAAACCTGGTATATCAGTTTGTACAGTCCACTGGTAATTATCAGTGTAACATGTAAACCTGGTATATCAGTTTGTACAGTCCACTGGTAATTATCTGTGGGACATGTAAACCTGGTATACTATTTTGTACAGTCCACTGGTACTTATCAGTGTGACATGTAAACCTGGTATATCAGTTTGTACAGTCCACTGGTAATTATCATATAATTCATAGCAAGCTGTTTTTACTTTCAGTCAGTGTTGATAGCTTTGAGCCAACATTGTAGTTGTGATTGTTCGGTTTGAGCTTAGATGTTGTTGTTGGGTTTGACCTAAGTAATATAATGATTGTTTGTGTTGAGCTTAATTGTCATTGACATTGTTGGGTTTGACAGTCCACTGGTAATTATCAGTGTAACATGTAAACCTGTTATACTAGTTTGTACAGTCCACTGGTAATTATCTGTTTGACATGTAAACCTGGTATACTAGTTTGTACACTAAGGTGTGAAGTCTGTTGTCAATCCTCTCCATAGAAATGTAGAATATATATTACAACTAATCACAGAGCTATAACAATGATGATCACATGAGCCATAAAGTCTGTGTGACATGTAAACCTGGAATATTAGTGTGTGCCAGTCCACTGGTAATGTTATTGCCGACTAATGTAGCAGATGTTTATGAGAGAACTGACTAAGGTGTGAAGTCTGTTGTCAATCCTCTCCATAGAAATGTAGAATATATATTGCAACTAATCACGAAGCTATAACAATGATGAACTCATGAGCCATAAAGTCTGTGCGACATGTAAACCTGGTATATTAGTGTTTACCAGTCCACTGGTAATTAACTGTGTGACATGTAAACCTGGTATATTAGTGTTTACCAGTCCACTGGTAATTATCTGTGTGACATGTAAACTTGGGACATTAGTGGGTGCCAGTCCACTGGTAATTATCTGTTTGACATGTAAACCTGGTATACTAGTTTGTACACTAAGGTGTGAAGTCTGTTGTCAATCCTCTCCATAGAAATGTAGAATATATATTACAACTAATCACAGAGCTATAACAATGATGATCACATGAGCCATAAAGTCTGTGTGACATGTAAACCTGGAATATTAGTGTGTGCCAGTCCACTGGTAATGTTATTGCCGACTAATGTAGCAGATGTTTATGAGAGAACTGACTAAAGCGTGAAGTCTGTTGTCAATCCTTTCCATAGAAATGTAGAATATATATTACAACTAATCACAAAGCTATAACAATGATGAACACATGAGACATAAAGTCTGTGTGACATGTAAACCTGTTATATTAGTGTGTGCCAGTCCACTGGTAAGTATCTGCGTGACATGTAAACCTGGTATATTAGTTTGTACAGTCTACTGGTAATTATCTGTGTGACATGTAAACATGGTATACTAGTTTGTACAGTCCACTGGTAATTATCATATAATTCATAGCAAGCTGTTTTTACTTTCAGTCAGCGTTGATAGCTTTGAGCCAACATTGTAGTTGTGATTGTTGGGTTTGAGCTTAGATGTTGTTGTTGGGTTTGACCTAAGTAATATAATGATTGTTGGTGTTGAGCTTAATTGTCATTGACATTGTTGGGTTTGAGTTTATTTATTATTGTTGGGTTTGAGTTTATTTATCATTGTTGAGTTTGAGCTTCGTTGTCATTGTTGGGTGTGAGTCTAGTTGTAATTGTTGGGTTTGAGTTTATTTATCATTGTTGGATTTAAGTTTATTTATCATTGTTTGGTTTGAACCTAGTTGTCGTTGTTGGGTTTGAGTCTAGTTGTAATTGTTGGGTTTGAGTTTATTTATCATTGTTGAGTTTGAGCTTAGTTGTCATTTGTTGGGTTTGAGTTTAGTTGTAATTGTTGGGTTTGAGTTTATTGATCATTGTTGGATTTAAGTTTATTTATCATTGTTTGGTTTGAACCTAGTTGTAATTGTTGGGTTTGAGTTTAGTTGTCATTGTTGGGTTTGAGTTTAGTTGTAATTGTTGGGTTTGAGTTTATTAATCATTGTTGAGTTTGAGCTTAGTTGTCATTGTTGGGCTTGAGGTTATTAATCATTGTTGAGTTTGAATTAATTCATCATTGTTGGGTTTGAGCCTAGTTGTAATTGTTGGTTTTGAGCTTAGTTGTCATTGTTGGGCTTGAGTTTAGTTGTCATTGTTGGGTTTGAGCTTAGTTGTCGTTGTTGGGTTTGAGTTTAGTTGTCATTGTTGGGTTTGAGTTTAGTTGTAATTGTTGGGTTTGAGTTTATTCATCATTGTTTGGTTTGAGCTTAGTTGTCATTGTTGGGTTTGAGTTTAGTTGTCATTGTTCGGCTTGAGCTTAGTTGTCATTGTTTGGTTTGAGCTTAGTTGTCATTGTTGGGTTTGAGTTTAATTGTCATTGTTGGGTTTGAGTTTATTTATCATTGTTGGGTTTGAGTTTATTTATCATTGTTGGGTTTATCTTAGTTGTGATTGTTGGGCTTGAGTTTATTTATCATTGTTAGGTTTGAGTTTATATATCATTGTTGGGTTTGAGTTTAGTTGTCATTGTTGGGCTTGAGTTTAGTTGTCATTGTTGGGTTTGAGTTTATTTATCATTGTTGGGTTTTAGCTTAGTTGTCATTGTTGGGTTTGAGGTTAGTTGTAATTGTTGGGTTTGAGCCAAATTTTAATTGTTGGGTTAGAGCTTCGTTGTCATTGTTGGGTTTGAGCCAAGTTTTAATTGTTGGGTTTGAGTTTATTTATCATTGTTGGGTTTGAGCCTAGTTGTCATTGTTGGGTTTTGTTGGGTAAAATTTGGTGGCAAAGGTATAAATAATGTATTATGTAAATCATGTACTATCTCTTCTCTCTCTCAGAAGATGATGTTGTTACCAAAATGTTTACATTAAAACCTGAAGTTAAAAATGTACATTTTCAAGCTTTGGGACAATTAAAGTGTGACAAAGTGCAACATGTAAGGATATTGAGCGTGAATGGAATATTCTGTACGACAAAACTAATGCCGTTAGCATTATATTTATATTAAACATATTCGGTTGTTTTTTTTAAAGTATTCCCTCATGGTTGGATTGTCAGTAAGTTATTTTCATGTGACAAGATTTGGTGTCCAGCGGCAGCTTTGCTGCATTTTCTTGTTTGTATTACTGTTATTATTAATTTTTGACAGAAATTCAGGCTCCTGTGGTTGGTTGGTGCACAGGGGCTCTTTACAAATGTCTGAAATACACATTACTCCAACATTGTTAGAGGTTTTACACGTCGAGAAACTTTTAACAGGCGCCACACGTCACAGTCGGCAAAATAATATCCGATAGAAAAAAGGCCGACCATGCCAGCGGCCTCTTATGTTATAGGAGTAAATTAAAATACACATATGCTAGACCGGTATGGGTCACAGCACACATACACATACACTGTGGGCTGTGACCAATTAGTATAGCATATGTGTATTCTAGACATTTGTAACAAACCCCTGTGGTTGGTGAGTTCACAGTTTCATGGTCTAGCTTTTTTGTGGTGATGTTTGTAAATGTTTAGCGCACCACCCAATGTTTACCCACCAGAGTCTCCCACAACGACGATCTTGATCTTGTCCACCGCAGCCATCATTCATTCGCCTAAAGCGTTAATCTCTGTCATATATGATATAACGATTTGGTGATGTGACATGAAGGATGTAGACAGTGCATGTGTGACACAACAGGAAGTTTAAATTTACACCGTCTATAAAGGGGAGATAATTCTAATTGACGTGAGTGAAGGTAAACACTACTAGGTTTTCCGGATAATTTTAACAAATAGTTAAACAGTGCAAACAATGAATATGATAAAAATCACAGGAGTCTGAAATCCAATAATCAGTAATAGAAGAAATATAAAAAGACTATCATATGTTTTAAAAAGGCATTCATTATGTTTTTTATTACTCTTATGTCAGAATTAACACCGAATTCCAGACGCCCGCGGATAAATGTAACTGTTACTCTTCTTCAATAACAACAAACAATATCTGCTTCAAAAGCATACTTTGAAGATAAAAGATATTTCAAAATATTTTACATCAAACACAAAAGCTGTATTCGTTTATCGCGATCCAAACGATTGAACCGATGTGACCCGAGTTGTTCGTTTTGTGAAATGAGGTCGGACCTAGTAATCTGATGCTGTTTTAACAATAATAATTCGAGGTTCTTATATACCGCTTTATCACAAACTAGTTCGTAGGTCGTCTCAAAGCGATTCACACATTATTATCCGTGGTTATAGGGCCTTTGCAACCAGCCAATACCTTTCTCAACTCCCTGGGGAGCATACAGCCTGAGCTGCCATTTCGGCGCTAACAACTAGCATTCAACAATTCTAGCACTACCTAACCACGTACAGCTGAGTAGACTGGAACAAGCTGAGTAAAGTATCTAGCTCAAAGATACAACACAGTCCCGTGCCGTGACTTGAACCCGCAACCCTTCGGTCGAGAGCCCGGCGTCCTACCACTAGACTACCGTGCCTCCTTCCAGGAAAGCCTTGACAAAGCATTGCATAAACATTTTCAGGTCTTCCATGATTTATACCCGAAACTATAACATCTGTTTAAAAACAGACAAACCGCTTGAACCGAGTACGCGAAATGGGCCATCCCAGATAACAGACATGCGTTGGCCCAATGCATCAGGGTTGGATGGACCATCGTTGGAAAATGACGTTGGGCCAACATCCTTTTTTTGCAAATCGGCCCAATGTTGGCCCAGCATGTTGGACCAACGTTGGCCCCAACAACTACTTCATGTGAAAACAACGTTGGGCTAACGTTGGGCCAACTATAAAACTATGTTGGGTCAACGTTGGGCCAATGCTTAATTGTGGTGCCTATTTAACGTTGGCCCAACGTTACACCAACGAACAAAGGTTGCTGGGCCAACGTTGGTTCAATGCTGTATTTTGTTGTATTATTTGTAGTGGGCTTTCCGTCTTATTTACAGCTACGGTTTTTTAAGGACGATGTCAAGATAGACACAAGAAACGACAGAAAGAAAGAATATGGGAAAAGAGGGAAATGAGAAGTGAATAAAATGTTGGTGTACATGTCTGATAATAAGAAAACAAACATTGATTTATATTATGTCATATCCACCAATTTTATTTTCTACTCTGGCTGATTGGTAGCCGATGTCATCAGTGCAGCTGTCGCCGCCTCTTTCTGCCTTGTGATTTCCTCCCCTTTTTTGTCTCCGCCCCTTCTCGGTCCCCTGTATATCTCAGCCAGTCTTTTGCAATATTATTGACCTCGTTGTACAATGTAGGTGGCCTTTAACGGGAGGTGGTTTTCCGTACAGCCCCTTAAAAATATGGTAACATTAAATGTGTAATAGGGAAAGTATTCCTAGTTCATTGTTTAGAAATAATTCTAAGCGACAAGGGCCCAACCATAGTTAAATTTGTAACCTAAAAAATACAAAGGACCGTAGACCATTTCCTCGCTAATCTATATATATTTCTGTAATGGTTTCAGTAAAACAATACCAGTATGCAACAATTCAACTCAAGATACAGTACTATATAACATAAACATAAAACAATCAAATTGACGACAGAAGTAGGGTAATATGTATTATTAAATCATATGTAAGTTTCAGGCTGTGTATTTTGGCAGGATTTTACGCCCTTGTTAAATAGAATATCTACAAAAGAAATAGCATAACCATAACATATGCAGGATGAGGCCTCTACATATGTCTATAAGGTCATTTATTTTGCATTTTGTATTAGAAAACACTTTTTGTAAGCTATGGGTGTCATACTTTAAATTTATGTCGTTATTGGCACAACCCTCCACCCATAGTAAGCTATAGTGTGATATTAACAGTATAAACAAAATAGTTCTAGGATGTAGTCTAAGAGTTACTTCCATTCCATACAAACACACACACACACTACAGGTACACATGGATATCCACCGTCGTGTGTGTATCTCAATAGAGACGATATACATGTCGACTTAAAAGTATCTTGCAGTGTATACCCATACCATTCCTGTTGTATACATGTAATAAATTAATCCTTTATTAAGNGGGGTTCTGGTTTGGTGGTATGCATGTACGAGCCCAGGAGTAATCGGGTAATGTTGGTAAAATATACCAAAACATTGAGTGTTGTTGTAGATACAATGTATACATGTAATTTTGAAAATAAGAAATCCATATTATAATGCTCATATCTGTAGCATAACTTGTTTGATCTCTACGTCTTTAAATTTGTTATTTTTCAAAAAATAAAGAAAAGAAATACTTTCAATTAAG